TGTGCAAATGTGATCAAATGTTATCTAGTTACTTTATCAGTTGTTGAGAGTGTACTTACAGACTGATTCGTATCGGAATTTGCTGAAACTAATCTAATCCATTCAACCCTCCAGAAATCATGTGCGATCAAGCCCACAACCCAACCTACTGCGGTCGTGCCCCGAATATTTTCTCGGAATATCCTGGTACTTTGGCATGCTTTCAGACGTTTCTCCAAACTCGCTGCTTGCCTCAATGATGACTGTTACTACTTGGCACGAGTTGTTGTTTTTTGGCCACGCGTGTTGTCTGAAGGTGCTCTCAATCTCTCCATTCTGTTGTGCAGTGTTGGTCATCTCCTGGTGCTTCGAGCAGTCAAATTAGTTCTAGCAACTTTGCACGATCTCCTCCGAGTCCGGGCTTGTGCTGGCTCTTGTAATTTCGCACGGACTGATTTTCTTCAGTATGCTATACTATACATGTTTCCGTCCCAATCCTGCTCTTAGCATGTTGCAGCCATTAGTTCTGTGAGAGAGCTGCAAGAATATCGGCAAATTCCTAGCTTTTACTCGCAGATTTGTCTCCTCGCAAAAGAAGTCCAAGTGGCACATGACAACCCTGGCGTGTTCGTATGGCATACGTCCTGGACATGTGCAGGATATTGTTCTATATAGCATTGTTTATGCATAGGTCATTTTGGACGAGTTCCTTTCACATCCCGGCCTGTCCTTTTAAGGTGGAATGTTAGCACTTTTGCAAGAATCGCGGGTTTCCAACCACCAGCTGTTTGTTCTATTGTTTATTGTTGTTATATACATTGTTTAAACATTCTGGGGTAGGCTTAGGATACATTTTACATTTTACCAGTGACTCAAAGTGAAGCAAGCAATAAAATAATACATTCTATAACTGGGCCTAACTCTAATCATGACATGTTTAGGCAACCTTCCACTCTTGGTTGAGGCCCGTTGCTCTCCTCCACGAGCTGGCTGTGCGGGGGGCTTGAAAATCGGGCAGGTCCTGCCACATATACTGTTAGGAAGTTGATTGTCAGCATGGAGTGTGGATCCCTTCAATTGTTTGTGTGTGTGTGTGTGTGGGTGTGGGGGCGTGTTTGCCTGTGTGTGTGACTGTTTCTGTTTGGGTCTTTGTGTCCCCTTTGCGTCTGTGTGTGTGTGTGTGTGTGCCCCCCCTCTCTCTTTCTCTCTCTCTCTCTCTATCTCTTTCTCTCTCTCTCTCTCTCTATCTTTCTCTCTCTCTCTCTCTCTCTCATTGCGGGTTGCAGTTACCATGCAAGGCTCGTGTAGGCAATCAATGAACCAGTTGTTGCCAGGAGCTATCGGCTGACTCCCGGGATCTAGATTATGCCAATAAAGTAGTTGCTTGACGGCATCAACCTGCGAAAGCGGAATGGTCGATCCACAAAAGGCAAGTGGCCAGCAAGTAGTGAAAGGAACCAAGGGCAATTGGCATCATGAGTTTATCGTACTAGTAAATGCATACCAAACATTGTAGTGGGTACCGTGCATGGTACTTTCAACCTTCTCGGGCTGAGCGAGCTTGAAGAAGCGCGCGAAACCTTCACCAGGTTTGGCTCGGAAAGGCAAAGGAACCTTGCAAGCCGACAGTGTCAAACCTCCACATATTTCCGCCCGACTTTGACCGGCTGAGCGGAAATCACAGCAACAAGGAAAGCACTTGTTGAAGCCGCGCCGCCAGTTTGGACCGCATAGCTGTTAGTGAAAATTGCCAGCTTTCCAATGTGAAACAGCTCACGTTCGAACCCAGAGCGCCAAGCGCATGGCAATGAGCAGGCCACCCGTCACGAGGCCCATGCATGCTCACTGTGCCGGCCGTGCTGAGTTCCTTCCTTGTTCAGGAGTAGGCTTCCTTGGTAAGTTCCTTGACTCTGAACTTTTTGCGAAGACCATTTTGGCGGTAAAAACAGAATCTTGGACATTTTTTGAGTAGACATTGGCCATGTTTCGCAAAGAGCTGGTCTTGAAATGACGCCCTCTTGATTTAGGTGGGCCTTGGATGTGTTTCCTGGGATTTTGAGACTGCGCAGAACGCTTGTTCTGATCTCGGGCTAGTGATTTGCAAAGATGTGGTTGGAATTGGGAAATCTGCCAGGGGAACCCATTGAGGAATTCCTTAAGGGGTCTCCAATTGGCAGGGGTGGGGGGGCTTTGGTGGACATAGGAGTCAAGGAAGCCATCTCCCTTGATGCGATTGAAGCAGGCTTCTGAAGGCACCCGTTGAGCCTCAGTCAAACAGCCCATATCTGCTCATTTCCCCTAAGGAACCCAAAAGAAATAGATGATTCGCCAACTTGTTCAACCCCCCCCCCCGTATTCGGAGACACCCAGACCACGCATTTGACCCCAGCCGCGGCTCTTGCCAGGAGATGTCTGGCTACCACCGGCATGTGGACTGCAAGTGGCAGGCGTCCGGAGCAGTCCGCCGGAAGCCAACCTCCGAGCCTTCGCGCACGGACAAGCTGGTGATGACGGTGCCTGTGCGGTGCACACGCGCCGCGGCTGGTTGCCCGCGGTTGCCCCTTTCCAGCCCACGTTCCAAGGGCTTCATGGGTGGCCCGAGGCGTAAGTAACGTGCTTCAGGAGTTTGGTCGCAGAACTTGGGGCAAATGTCGACCGAGGAGATGATCTCGTGGAGTACTTTGGCAAGTACGGGCAGGTGCTCGAGGCGAAATACATCGGCCATGAGTTCCTCGATGGCAGTGAGAGTTCGCATAGCCCTTGCTTGCCAGGCCAGTTTTCCCGGTGTGGCTCGAGTGATGGCCTTGTTGTCGCCCTTGGTTGCCAGGCCAGTTTTCCCAGACTTGGCCTTCTTGCTCCCCCTAGCTTCTCAGCATTCGCTTCCTGTTTGCCCCCTTCAAGGAACCAACCAGCAAGTCGGACAGTCACAGCACATCTGCTGGCGCCGCCTTGACACACAGTGCCAGGGCCGTCCCTTTCCACCCACATCGCAAGCTGTAGCGCTTATCGTGGCTCCTGCGTCACCGAACAGCTTTTTGTTTCCTCTCATACATGGGTGTGTCTCTTTTTAGGGGACCCCCATTTTTGGTGGTTCTCCCTCTCTTTTGATGTGCCTTTAAAACGGCAAAAAAGGCGCGGGTCTCAAAAAGGACATCCTCATCGCACATGTTTTGAAGACAGGTTCATCCGTATCCCCTATTGCGCTTGCCCTCCAAGGCAGGTCAAGGTCTTCCATTTCGCGGCTTAGGGCTCTTATTGTGTGGCTCGGAACGAGCCCCGTGTTTCGCAACATCAAGCCTTGGTTTCTTCTGCTCAGGTGGTTCCCTTTCATCCGCGGTGTCGCGCTAGGAATGGGGAGGGATTAGAGATCTCCCCCAGTTTTGGGAAAACTGTTTGGCTTTGCGCGTTTTGTAGATTTCGCCTGTTCTTCCCCTGTTGCTCCTTTGTTAGTAATATTTTTGTACTCTTTCAATATTCTACACGGGATCCACAGATTCGCCGCCTCCAAACGGTTTTCCGGAAAGTTTCTGGGGAGAACCCATGGCAAACCATTGTTTGTTCGTATTTCCGGAGAATCATCATTCCCAGGTTTCTTGGGTGCAAAATGGATTTCGTTCGTCCACGGTATGGTTGGCTAGGATTCGGGATCCCCCCCCATTTTGAGGGGAGAACCCTGCCGAGCCACAATCAAAACCCCGGTAGATGAAGGTTAGTAAGGGACAATCCCCTTGCCATTAAAAAAAGAAGAAGGAAAAAGACGCTGCGGCTCTCCGCCTTCTGAATTCTTGACGCATGGTTCTGGGGATCGACCATTTTAGTACCCTCCCTCCATCATGGCATGTGTGGGGAGGTATCTGGAAGATGAGTGTCCTAAGGGACCGGGTCCCTTGCCATGTTAGGGTACTCAAAACTGCCATAGGACTGGCTTATCTTTGGAAAAGCTAGCCATAGGAAGCCTCCCCGCCGAAACGCGCCTTTTTGCGCCCAGGGCCTTTCGGGTTTCGATCAGCGAGGCGCTACGTCCTCCACTTTGACAGCGCTGACGCTGTAGAGCTGATCCTCCAATGCCAGGCGGGAGGCGACGTGCGCCTAGTGGTAGTGGGGGGTAGGGGGGGGGGGAAGGGGGTGGGGGGGGGTAGGTTGGGGGGAAGGAGGGGGGGGAAGGAGGGGGGGGGGTAGGGGGGCAGTGGGGGGGGGGTAGGGGGTAGTGGGGGGAGTGGGGGTAGTGCCGTCACATGGGATGAGCCTGAACTTCTCACTTGCTTAAGAATACTTTGGTGCATTGTGCCAAGGGATGGTAGGACTTTCACTTTTTGCAAACTAATGGGTTTTCCCCATTCAACCACTAGTTAAACTTTTGGCAGGGGAGCAAAAAGCAACCAAGAATATATTGTTTTTTCTTGTTGGCTTTAAAGGAAATCCATCACTACTGGAAATATCTCCATTTTTCCCAGGGGTCTCAAGCAAATGGAAGTTAACATGCGCTGAACTTGTTTGGACACACTCCGATTCTGCCTTGGAAGCGCTCCATAAGAATGCGCCGAATGCGGCAACGAGCACTGGCAGCTGCTTGGTGCAGAGATGTCTGGGCCGAATGTGAGAAACAACAAAGAACATTCGCAAGATTGGGGATCTAGTTGAGCATGGGATGAGCAGAATGTCATGCTTCAATGGGCGTTCCGAGCCTCCTGATGTTTGTGTAGGAAGCATGCGTCGCAGAATTTTCACGGAAGCCCCAAGCCCCGGCAGGAAGTAGATGAGCACGTCATCAAGGACATCCACTTTAAGGCCTGAAATGAAAGCTGCAGATGGTGCAGTTTTGTGGTGGTTAGAGGGAACGCCACATCCGTGAAGTCAGTTTTGGGCTTAGCGAAGCCAGCACTCCTGGCAATCAGCGAACAAGCGCAACCAAACCCTGCCCAAGTCAACTCTAAACCAACAGCAGACTGGATACAAACAAGCCCAAGACCCGCCCTCATTCAGATCTTAGGCCTACCACTCGCCCCTGACCCCGCCTCTTGTCCACAACCGGAAGGTTCGTGGGCCAGATCTAGGTTGGATGCACAGGCCTGGTGAACAAGGGGTCAGCCTTAAACAGGGCGAACCACAAAAAGCACCACGTCCCCCCGCTAGGCGTCCGCGATCTTCCCATCTTTTGGGGGGACCTTCGGATGCGTGCACAACAAAGGGAACACCAGAATTTGTTCGTTCGGGCGCGGGGTCCGTTAGGCGGGGGGGGCCCTTTAAAAAGACATATATATACATATATATATATATATATATCCATATGCAGGTCCGGCACGGCCAAGGTATCCAAATGGTTCGCAGAGTTGGCCACAGATGGGAAGCGAGACTTGGACGTGGTGGGGTGACAACTGTTGTCAGTGTCCGGCGGAGTTGAAGGCAGACCCCAACCATTGAGAGTCAATCCTCAAAGCGATCCCTCCGAAACCGTGATCCAAGGAAAGGAGCTACCGTTCCAGGCCTCTGAGAGTGCCAAGCGTCCCAAGCCCTTTGGCCGTGTCTGAGAGCGAAAAGCGCTGAGGGCGGGCCGAGGCCGAGAGCACGTGACTCAGTCGTGCGGGGCACACCAATTCGCAGAGGCTTGAGGCATGGGTTTTCCGTACCGTGGCTCGGGAGACACGGGAGACTTCAGCAATGTCTCCGTTGGCCATCGCGGTCCTGATGTATCGGATTTCTCGGAATATAATGAGTTCCCGCGAGTGGTCGAAAGGATCCGCAAAATGTGTATAAGGAAAAATAGGAGGGATTGGGCAATCCGAACAAGGAGAAGGAGAAATTTGGAAGGTGCCAGTGTGTGGAAACCAATGTGACAAATGTAGCTAGCGCACTTTCTCAGAAGGCGGAAAGCTCAACAGTTGCTTTATCGCAGGTGCTTCTTGGAAATGGTGTGCTGCATGTGGCACATGGTTTTTGCATTCGCGCTTAGTTTCTTGCAACATGTCGAGAACCAATCGCCGTGTCCGAGAAGCC